ATAGAGAAAGAACTCAAAGGGAGAAGGGGGAATGAATTTTTCAAATCCTAAACCCCTCAAATACCTCTCTGATCGCGACATTCTCGCTACAACAAGTCATCTCTCGTTGCAGCAACACCCCCTCTCGCTGTAGCAAAAATTTTAGAAGAAACTATACTTCAGATTCTGTAGAATCTACAGCGAGATCCTCTCGCTACAGCGAGACTACACTCAGAAACGCACCCCTCTCTATTGCCTTCTCACTACAACAAGGAGCCTTTCGCTACAACGAGAATGCAACAAAATCACCCCTTCTCCCAAGACCTTCTCACTACAGCGAGACTCCTTTCACTATAGCGAGAATACCACAGATTCATGCTCTACGCCCAGGGCCCTCTCGCTACAGTAAGAACACTCCTACAATATACACTTAGCTAAATTTTCAATGAATTCCAAACACATCAAACTATTAATCTATAATCAATATCTACAATTACACTTATATATATTCATCCACATACATCAACACACATATACATATATTCACTCAGGGATTGATTTTCTCAAGTATCACTTCATAAATCAACAACTAGTTGAGCATACAATTGATTGGAGAGTTTATATTATGTAAAAATTAGAATTAACAAGTGTAAGAAATTATAAAGGTGCAGTAAAATAGAACTACAAATTTTGTATTGAAATGATATATGGAATGGAGTTAGGAATCATTTCACCAAATTATCAATTACAACTCAATCATGTTTTGAACTCTTAAGTATTTCACCTAATTGATAATCGATTTCACTTATTTAATCAAAGTTCAATTCCTTGACTCAATGATCCTAATGTTCAACTTAACAACCCAAATACCTTATCTGTAATTCAATTAAACATTGCATTAAGCATTAGAAATCATAGGATTACAAGATTATGAATGTTTATCCCTAAGATATCATTAACCTTGGTAATTGATTATGAGAAACTAACTCAACTTTCATTGATGAAAATTTCTCTAAGTTCAATTTAATTGAATTATCAGTCTAATAATTGTCTTAAAAACAGAATCAAATGCCTAATTCAATTAAAATTTCAAGGTCCAGATCCATAATCAAATCACAAACTCAAATTTGGATCCATAAATTCCTAATAAAAGAAATCTAGAACATCATTACAGATGGACAAGAGAAAGAAAAAGAAGAAGAAAAAGAATAGAAGAACATCTTCACAATCTAATTCCCAATCTGATTCCTCAAGAATTGAAACTTGGAAGTCACCCCTAATCACTCTCTCTAACTCTCCTAAGAAGTGAAAATGGAATGGAAAAGAAAAAATGACAAAAGATCCCCAATTTTGGACTACACATGTATTTATATTTTTTTTTCTTGCTCTTTCTGACATGTACACTTCAAATGGTTAAAGTGTACACGTAGAAGGTCTTCTGGATTATTCCTAAATTGAGGTGAACACTTTAAATGCTTAGAGTGAATACTTAAAGTGGTTATACAAGATTTTGTCATGCAGGTTAATACTTTGAACGTTTAAAGTATTAACACGCAACCTTCCTTTAACCTAAACCTCTCTAAAGCGAACACTTTATGTGCTGAAAGTGGTAATGGTGAGTTATCTATGATGTGCATGTTAACTTTGAACATTTGAAGTGTTGATGTGAATGCCTCCTTTGCATATTTGCTATTGGAGTGTTCACTTTGAACACTGAAAGTGTTTATGCACGAAGTCCTCGAGTTTACACCTCTGGAATGTTCATTTTGAACACTTAAAGTGTACACTTTCACCTCTTCTTATAGATTAAAGCTTTGAATAGTTCACTTTGAACACTTAGAGTAATCACTTTCACTTTATTTTGTTGAATCCATTCCAGAGTTGTCACTTTATACACCCAGAGTGATAACTTTTAGACTTTATCAATTGATTCTTCACTCTTTAAGTCCAATTCTTTCACTTTTTTCTATTTCTTCATTTGATTCTCGTCCTCATAACCTCCAGTTTAGATTTTCTGCATAAAATTCAATCTAATAAGCAGAATTATATCAAAATTGAGATCAAATCTAAAACACTAAACTTTTTAAAGAACTTTGAACATTAAAGCATTTTTTATGTGATTTTTAGCTTTATTAATCAATTTAAATACTTATTAACTACTAAAAACTAAACTAAAATGCTAGTAAAATATCGATTTATCAATGGGCATCAAGGTGCCCCCAAATTAAAACAATTGTTCTGGAATTGAAAGCATTAAAAGGAAATAACAGCAAAAAAAAAAAGAAAAACAAATACATATAAAGTAAAAATAAAAAAACTGCAGCAGTGCAAGTTGTTCTTAAAATTCTTCTCCTGCTTCATCTTTTGCAGCAGAATTTTCTTCAGACATCAAGCACAACAACTTAGCACAAGATAAGCCTTCTTGTTTAACATCGATTACATGCAGGTCCTAGGCAATTCTGTCCACTTTTTCCTCTAGCCACACAATTCCTTGCATTAACAATTATACCTATCTAGTGGCAGATTTTTGAAATTGAGTTATTCCACTAAGAACCAGATTATGTTGGTGTTTGCTTGTCATATGGAACGAAGTGGAAGTAGAGGGTATTGATGGTGAAGTGGCTATTAATCTTCCTTTAGGTCTTTTGGTGCCATGTTCAGTTGTGATCCATTTCAACTTCTAGACTGGGATATCATTGAGGTCGATTGGCACCTTATCCTCCTCACAAAGCAGTGTACTAAGTGAAAGGTAAGCAAGAGATCGTTGATTATCATCTTCCATGATTTGGCGTAGTTCTTGATAGATCACCTTCCCCACATTAATATCAATCCCCATTACAATACAATATAGAAGTTGTGCTCGCCTCAACAATAAGGTGGTATCATGTAAGATTGGGGGTGAGTGAGCGAATGATAAAATGGAATCATACTTTAGGAATGGGTAGGAGGTCACTTAGTAATAGGCTGCAAGGGTCAGGATTGCTCAAAGGTCTCCATTTAGCTCTAGGTTTGCACAAGCTGTGGATAATGGCTTCATAATCTGGTCCTTGCTCCAGCAACAATGTATAGTCATCCTTCTTAGGCTCAAGCACCGGTCTTGGTATTTTTAAGACTCTATTTATCACACCTGGAGTAAATGCAACCTTAGTGCCTCTCACCATAATGTGATAGGGAAAGAGATTGACTTCAGCCTGAGGATTAAATTTGGTGTTTGCATAAAACTCCCGCACCAAGGTTTGAAGTCCCTTTCAAGATAATCTACAGAAACTCTCTTTTCTAGTCTGTATGGTGAGGTTGATAGGCTTATATTCACCTTCTTGCAGCTTGAAGGCTTGGTCTTCCACAATCTTATGCAGCTTAATATTCGAATTGTGGTGCTGCTCATGGAAGGGACAGAAAGTTATACCTAATTCTCTTTGTGTGGTTAGTTGTTGTCTTCTTCCTCATCTACCATGAAAGATCTTCTTACACTAGTGTAAGTCTAAAAATTCTTACATTCAATTTGAGTCTTTCATTTAACTTACATTTAATGGTCAATGAAGTAATAAATTATAACTCATTAAATTTAAGTTAAATAAAAAGTTCAGATTATGTGTAAAATTTTTTAAACTTACACTAATGTAAGAATATCATGTCCTTATATATATATATATATATACTAAAATATATTTGAGATAAATATTTAAGGAAGTAATATATGTAATGATTAACAGTATACTTACAAAAATCATATTTTATATATTATTAAATTATTTATTATTAAAAACTTACTACCATTAATTGATAAAAAAATTAATTAAATTTTAATTCAGTAAAAAATGTTGAGACAAATAATTATAATACAAATAAAAATTAAAAAATTATTAGATTACTAATTTATCTTTTATTATACCACTAAATAAGTTTAAATTAGTTAGACAAATAATTTTACTTTTATTTATATAACTAATTTAAAAAAAAATTTACTATTTTTTTATTATTTTATTATTTTTGTGTTTTATAATTATGTAATTTTTAATTTTTATTTAAACAAATAAATTCATATTTTTTTATGTTAATAATTTTTAATAAATCTCTTTTTTATATATATTTTTTCCTTTTTAAGAGAAATATATTCAAAGATTAAGTTGTTTTTTTTAAAAAAAAATTATTTTTCATTAATCACATATCAGTATAATTATTTATAACCAAATAACCAAAAAAGTTGTAATCACAACTACGTTAATTTTAAGTGATATCATAAAATTTTATTATTATTTAGTTTAATTGTATTGAAGTTGTTAATATTTTGTTTAGCTAATTTAACCTACAATATCATAAATTTAGATTAAATTCAATTAAGTTTTGATGTAGAAATTATTAAAATAAAATATTGATAAAAATTTAAAATCTCATTAAGAAAAATAATATATTTTATGACATAAATATATTTATATATATTTTTTAAAAAAATTAGACATGTTGACAATGAATAAAACATAAAATAAATAAATAGAAATAAGAATTATTAAGTTTTAATTGGGTTTCTTATATTTAAGATTTTATAGTATGATAATCAGTTAAATAATAATCATGATATAATTTTTTTAATATTTTTAAATATAATATTTAAACCAATCCATATTTTTTTATTTTGTCAAAGTCAATTTGATCATAATATATGAATTCAATCTACATTTATTACATATAACTATTAATTAGATTCAAGTAAATATATTTTTTACATTAACAGTTTTTAAAAATTCTATTTAGTTTTATATTTATTTTTCATTTTTCATATAAGCCATGATATATTTCATATTTGATTGAAAAATATTTTTTATTATATTTTTACCAATAGAATATAACTTTTTAGATATTTATCTTAGAACTATATTTATTGTGATTTTTTAATTCTATGACATGTTAAAAGTGGAAAAATATTTTTAAAAATTTATTATAGTAATTTTATTTTTGAAGTTGATTGTATATAAAAGTGAAAAAGTTAAACATAAAATGTCATAAACAAATCCAGCACGTGTACGTTTACTACGATAATTGTATAGCTGTGCTCCTCTCTCAGTCTGTGACTATGGCATCTTTCTCTCTCTCTCTCTCTCTCTTTCTTGTTCCCGCCATATTCGGCGACGTTTGAAAGTTTCCTCCTCTTATTCTTAATTACTTATTACAATTATAATTAATTTATGATAATAAAAATTAGAAGAAAAGAGTGATTGTGAATTGATTAAGCAAGCTCAGTGAGTGAATAGCAATAGCAATAGCAATGGAGAAATACCTGAGAGAAAATTTTAACCTGCAGCCGAAAAACCCGTCAGAGGCGGCACTTCGCCGATGGAGATCCGCCGTCTCCATCGTCAAGAATCCCCGCCGGCGCTTCCGCATGGTCGCCAATCTCGCCCAACGCGCCGACGCCGAATCGAAGAGAAGGAAGCTTCAGGTACTCCTCTCTTCCATTTCAATTTCATTTTCGATTCATTAACCGATTCTACGCTCCAGACAATGAAAACACACAGTGCAATGGATCAGAATCCGATTGGTTTTGTCGTTTCCGAATTTCCTTTTTTTATTTTTTAAATTAAATTTATTCGTGAAAATACGCTAACTGAATCAAGCTCAGATAATTGGTAGCGTGCAATGAAAGCTAGTTCATGCAAGTCATTAAGATAGTAACAGAGCGATTGAAATTTTCATGTAACTATTGGTCAAATCGTTAACGTGATGTAACCGTTGTTTCTGAGCTCGCTTCACACGGTTTCGACAAAAAAAAAATAAAAATCTTCATTAATGCATGATATTCTTCCTCCATAAAAAGATCGCAACCTTTTCTACCAAAAAAAAAAAACAAAAAAGACCAGAGTTACATTTTTGGATTAACCAAGGTTTTATTAATTATTTATATTTGTATAGGTAGGTCCCAGAAAATTTGATTGCTATGATGTAGAAGAATTGATACAGAAGAATTTCCCTCACTTCTCCCCCAATTTATGCCTTTCACACGTACCACTTGACTTGAAATTTCAATTTTTATTTAACATAAAATAAGAGTAGTTAACATCAAAATTTCTTTTGTTAGGAACCAAATAACTCATTATCATTTATTTCTGACACGATATATAGCTATTTCATAAAGTACCATTCAAACTTGTTTCATACGGCAGGATACCAAAAAGGGTGAAACAATTTGATATGGGCTTTGATTTTACCAAAGATGATGAAAATGTGAAATCCCCATCATTTATCGCTGGAGGGACCATTTCTTATTTTGTGGCGAAGCAATTTATAAAGCACACGCTAAAACGGGTGAAATTAGGGCATTACTTAAATGCAAATGGTTACCAATAGGATAGCCCATGTTAACCACCAACTTTTTAAAGCTTCCAATGTTTATCTCTTACTATCCCGTATGTTTTAGTGTGTGTTTACTGCTTAAAAATTACCTCAACACAGTTTAACATAAAAATTATACCTTATAGTGTTGAATAGATTCCCGTTTCAAATGTCCATTCAAACACAGTTATTTTTATTTGAAAACTAAAATCAAATAGTTTGTGTTATCCCATGCATACGTATATGTTTGAGCTAACCCATGCCTGATCGCCTGTTCCATTATATATATGCTATGCAAGGTAAACCAGCAAAGATTCGTGGTGCTACACTACTTTGAGTCATTTTCTTCTTTGTCCTTGGTCCTTATACTCTTTTAGTCTTTACCAATGATTCTCTCAATTCCAGCTTATTTCTAAAGCAATAACCTCACTTTGACGCACTGGTTTTATAAATTTACCATAATATTTATATTAATATTTACTGTAACTCTACCCAGTGAGATGTATGAAACCGTATGCTTTTACATCTAATAGAAGTCTTAAGAATTATAATGCCATTCTGATGAATTTGGGATGACAGTCACCTTAATTTTATACTTGTTAGAAATAGAATGGCAAACCAATACTTAATTGCTATCCTACATATATTGTCTTCCTGTTTAAACCCACAAATGTTATATTTGATACTTCGAATATTGCTAAATTTTTGGTCGCAAAAATATCATTATTTTTTTAATTTATTTTAGATATAAAAAACTTGTTTCTAGCACTATATTTAACAAAAATAAAATATTTTTAGTCTCTTATCAAGAATTAAAAGAAAATATTTTTTAAATTTTTTGTAACTAAAATAAAATAAGTTGTTTTTTACAAGAATTAAAATAAAAAATATGAATTATTGTAGAACTGCTTCGTTTGGCAATTGGTATCTGTACATAACTTACTTTTGTTTGAAATTTATGTATGATAGAACTGCTGTATTACCATTTAATGTTTCATTAAAAAAAAAGTGTTTTTCTTTGCTTTTTGTTGCGTGATGTAGATGTGAAGTGTAACGGTATGACCATAAAATTTGCATAAACTGATGTTATAGTTATTAGATATATGAAAAAAAAAATATTCCCCAATATTAACTCAACTATCTTTGTTTTTGGGTTTATTTATTTAATAAAATGTTATCATAACCTTTATGCACTCGTTGAACTATTTAGTCAAATGATGTCTTGATAGCAAAACTGATATTTGTCTCTATGCTCTCACACTTCTATTTTAAAGAATTGTTTTTACACGGGAAATTTGTTCTCAAAATTATCATTCTTTTCTTTTCTTGAGAAAAAAGTTCAAAAAGAGATAGAGGAAAGAGTTGATCAATTCTCCATTAATTAATGTGGCATATCTCTCCTTTTTTTTTTTTCTATTAATGTGAATGGCGTGAATGAACTTCGTGTAGCTCTGTGCTTATTGTTGAGCTAAAAACTAGAATGATAAATCTCTGGCATTATGAAAACGGTTATTCAATAGAAAAATGTAACAGTATCAGGTTGCTATTGCTGGAGCAGAAAGCATACAGGATAGGAACCACGAGCTTAGATACACCCTTCTAAACGTTGAATAACATGCATTTATTATGCATTGCCCTAATACACTTTGCATATACTCTTAACTATCTTGACCAGGAGAAGATACGAGTGGCTCTCTATGTGCAAAAAGCAGCGTTGCATTTTATTAACGGTATATACATTTAATCCCTTTCATTTACCTTTTCTCTTTTCATTCTTTGTTCTGTTACATATTTTCTTTTCCTTCTCATACAGCTGGGAACCGAGGTGATTTCATGCTAACTAAGGAGACTCACGAAGCAGGCTTTGGAATTGAGCCAGATGAATTAGCATCCATTCTTCGAGCCCATGATGTTAAACGTTTAGAACTGCATGAAGGAGTTGAAGGAATAGCAAAATCTGTTCGTGTGTCATTGCAAGACGGTGTTAATTCACTCGATGTTCAGCATAGGCAAAACATCTATGGTGTTAACCGCCATGCAGAGAAGCCCTCCAGAAGTTTTTGGATGTTCGTTTGGGATGCAATGCAGGACTTAACTTTAATTATCCTTATGGGATGTTCTGTGATTTCAGTAGGTGTTGGAATCTCAACTGAAGGTTGGCCTAAAGGTATGTACGATGGAGTGGGAATCATACTATGTATTTTTTTAGTGGTCTTTGTCACTTCAGTCAGTGACTATAAACAGTCTTTGCAATTCAAGGATTTGGATAAAGAAAAGAAAAATGTGAGCATTCAGGTTACAAGAGAAGGTAGAAGACAAAAGGTTTCGATCCATGATCTAGTGGTAGGAGATATAGTACATCTGTCTATTGGAGACATTGTTCCTGCAGATGGGTTATTCATATCAGGTTTTGGCTTATTGATTGATGAATCAAGTCTATCAGGTGAGAGTGAGGCTGTGAATGTGGACCAAGGTAAGCCTTTTCTTTTATCCGGGACCACAGTACAAGATGGGTCTGCTAAGATGCTGGTGACATGCGTTGGCATGAGGACTGAATGGGGAAGATTGATGGATACTCTGAACGAAGGGGGAGATGATGAGACACCTCTTCAGGTCAAACTAAATGGGGTTGCGACCATAATTGGAAAGATAGGCTTGGTTTTTGCATTGCTGACATTCCTAGTTCTGACGAGCAGGTTTTTGTGGGCGAAAACAATTCATCATCAGATCACAGAGTGGTCCCTCGATGATGCATCTAAACTTCTCAATTTCTTTGCTACTGCTGTCATTATAATAGTTGTGGCAGTTCCCGAGGGGTTGCCTTTGGCGGTGACACTAAGCCTTGCATTTGCAATGAAGAAATTGATGGATGATAAGGCACTAGTTAGGCACCTCTCTGCATGTGAAACCATGGGTTCAGCTGGTTGTATTTGCACTGATAAAACGGGGACTTTGACAACAAATCACATGGTTGTGGACAAAATATGGATTTGCGAACAGACTAAAGTAATTAAAAGCGGCAGCAGTGAAAATGTTTTGAAGGGCTCAATTTCTGATCAGATACTTGATCTCCTTTTGCAGTCAATATTCCAGAATACTGGCTCAGAGATAGTCAAAGGGCAAGATGGAAAGAACAGAATAATGGGCACTCCCACAGAATCCGCATTGCTAGAATTTGGCTTGCTTCTGGGAGGTGATTCTAAGTTTTATAATGACAAGTATAGAATAGTAAAGGTTGAACCTTTCAATTCAGTCAGAAAAAAGATGTCAGTGCTTGTGGCTCTTCCCGGTGGCACCAACAAGTCTCGAGCATTTTGTAAAGGAGCATCAGAAATAGTTGTGAAAATGTGTAACAAAGTTGTTAATGCTGACGGCAATGTCGCCCATTTGAACGAACAACAAAGAAGTAGCATCACGGAAGTTATCAACGGTTTTGCCTCTGAGGCTCTGAGAACACTCTGCATTGCCTTCAGGGACATTAAAGGATCTTCTAAGGGTGATAGTATTCCTGAGGATATGTACACATTAATAGCCATTATTGGGATCAAGGATCCAGTGAGGCCTGGAGTGAAAGAAGCAGTTCAGACTTGTTTAGCAGCTGGGATTACTGTTAGAATGGTAACTGGTGACAACATAAATACGGCTAAAGCAATAGCTAGAGAATGCGGCATATTGACAGATGGAATCGCGATAGAGGGACCAGATTTCCGGAACAAGACCCAGCAAGAAATGGAGGAGATAATACCAAAAATACAGGTCTGGTTACTGTTCCCTGGACACCTTTTAATGTTTAGCAAGAGTGGTACATTTTCAAATTGATTGCTTGATGTGTGTAGGTAATGGCTCGATCCTTGCCTCTGGATAAGCACACCTTAGTGACCCATTTGAGGAATGACTTTAATGAAGTAGTGGCAGTAACTGGTGATGGGACCAATGATGCTCCAGCGTTGCATGAGGCTGATATTGGACTTGCCATGGGTATTGCAGGGACAGAGGTTTGTCACAAGCACAATCTATATATCTTAGATACAAGCATTATCTGAAATTTTAGGGGTTGAAAACAACTACAGGATTTATATATTAAGTAAAACTAATTATATCATTTTATGGGCATATTTAATATGTTTCCTAATCAATTGAATTTAATATTTTATGTAGTATTGTTAACCTCCATCTTCTCCAGGTTGCAAAAGAGAATGCAGATGTGATTGTAATGGATGATAACTTCACAACCATAGTGAATGTTACGAGATGGGGCCGTGCTGTTTATATTAATATACAAAAGTTTGTCCAGTTCCAGTTAACAGTCAATGTTGTAGCTCTCGCGCTGAATTTTGTTTCAGCATGCTTGTCAGGTAATACATACCCATAACGTTTTAGGCCAATCTTTTCAGGTCATAGCTAAATATTTTTGTTCAATTCAGATGACTAATCAAAACAGAAATCCATTTCAGGCTCTGCTCCTCTTACTGCGGTTCAAATGCTGTGGGTAAACATGATAATGGACACTCTGGGGGCATTGGCACTGGCTACAGAACCTCCCCATGATGGGCTGATGAAGAGGCCACCTATTGGAAAGAACGCCAAATTCATCACCAGGATCATGTGGAGAAACATAATTGGTCAGAGCATCTTCCAAATTATTGTCCTTCTGGTTCTCAAATTTCGTGGGAAACAGATTCTCAAGCTCGATGGACCTGATTCTACCACTGTTTTAAATACCGTCATATTCAACACCTTTGTTTTTTGCCAGGTACTAGATCAGTTAACTTTCACTTTGCAGTTTTTTAAATTGGTCAGAACATGGATATATTTTTCCTAAAATCTATTCATTACTCGCTAGCTCTAATATTGTTTTCTTAAGAAACATACGCGTGTGTTTGAAAACACATTAAACGTTGATCCTATGTCAGAAACTACTATAGCGTTGAAGTAAACTAAAATTCATTTGCATTGGAATGCAAAATCAACACAACATAAGTCTCGATATGTGTAGTAGTAACTGGGTGTTGAATGCACGTTAGGAAACTATATATGCTAGTACTTGCTTTTCCTCTCGATTGTTACTTAATATTTTGTTTTGGCAACGTTCATGCATCCTGAGGAACAAACTAATTCAAAACATGTTTTCTTTCACTAATAGGTATTCAACGAAATTAACAGCCGTGACATGGAGAAGATTAATGTTTTCCAAGGCTTGTTCAGAAGCTGGGTTTTCCTAATGGTCATGGCCTCAACAATATGCTTTCAAATCCTGATAGTTCAATTTCTGGGTACTTTTGCTCAAACAGTACCACTGAGCTGGGGATCGTGGATAACAAGCGTCATGATTGGTGCGGTAAGTTTACTTGTAGCTGTTGTCCTAAAATGCATTCCAGTTCCATCGAGCAGCTACGTGACCACGCCTCATGATGGTTACGAGCAGCTCCCCAGTGGACCAGAACTGGCATGAATACGATAGATAATGTGGTTCACTTTTTATAAGCTTCGATCATAATTTTGATTGATCTTTCCAAAAACCCATAAAGGAAGATATCATATCTCGTTTCTTTCTGCCCTCATTTTTCTATTTGCCACACCCCATTGCTTTGGCACACTATCACTCTCAAGTACGATATCATCCTACTTCTCCCTTCAGAAGTCTCTTTCGGAAGATGATTTTTCCTTGTAGTGAAAACATTATTTTGGTAGTAAACATGTAATGAAGCAAAGTTAGCTAGGAGGGTAAGTTTAGAAAGTTACATATGGTCAACTTATTATATGGTTGTCAGGATTATTGTTCAAAGTGAACAGTTTATCATCTATTCGATGTCGTCAACTGAACTAATCAGCTCAATAGTACAAAACGAGTAGAGGTATTTCTTTTTATGGTGATAAAAGTTATGCTCAATTGCTTAAGAAATAAAATTTTCATTCTCAGATTATTTTTTAAGATTTGATTCATTGACGTACGACAATAACAAGAGAATTTTAAATTTGACATAATTTAACTTCAATCTTCTCGGATACTTTTAATTGATGGTAGAAATACACGTAAAATATAATTGAAAAAAGAAGACTTAAGATTAACTATAATTTAGCAAAATATGCACAGTTTAAAGGAATTATGTTTTATGCATGAAACGCTTCAAACAAATTTATATCCGTTTGACGTCAGCTCTCCCAAGGAGGCAGTACTAGCATTGGTAGAAAACATAAATCTTGCATCTGTGCTCTACGCCTTTCATCTTCATTCCATTCCTATTTCCTAACTTAAAATGACTAAATTCTCCAAAACTTTGACTATTTAATTACACATAAATGGTCAAAGTTAATTTAACTTAAGTCTAACTTCAATCATTTATTTAAAATTAAATGGTCAAAATTACTGTTTTAGTTAAAACAGACAATTAGCTGAACTGAACTACCTCTTCTAACCAGTCTTGGTTTGATTCCTGCAATTATTTCTCCTTACCATAAAATTTGCATGAATAATCTTGTGTTTTGTTTCTTTTCTTCTGTTAAAAAGGGCACTGCAAATCTTTCTTTATTAGTCTTAACAATCTACAAACATTGCACATTCTTTTTTATCTTCCGCCTTGAGTCGTGTGAAGTGCTGAGACCTTTATGTCGAGTGCATGTGCAATATAAACTTGTCTAATCCATTTATAACATGTGGAACCAATATTCTTGCAAAACAATATGCCAACATTATCATGTTATGCACATTGTAACATATCTTTGACCTTTCAAATTTCCTAATAATTTCAGCACTTTCTTACTCCTTTTTCAATAAAATTGTTTTGAATCACCTGTTTAGTGACTATTCTTTTGTCATAACAATCCCTGTTTTTCAGTTTAAGATTGGTGATTTCAATTATTTGATGCATGTGGTGAGTAAGCCAAATCGATTAATAGAATGTCAACCCTAACTGATTCTTTCAATTTTTTTGCGGTGAGATTAGGGGGAAAAAATAAAAAAAAAATAAGTCAATGGATTGCACGATGTGTGTCACCTGAATAGGTTAAAAGCAAATTCCATCCCTTTGACACTTTCTCTATTAATAATAAATAATTATAAGAGGGTGCTTCTAAAAGGTCAGCGGTGACTATACTATACTAGTTTATAGAAGAGACATGATGTAATTACTTTATAGCAAATTGGTATACTTTAATTATCATTTTATCTTTTTACAGTTATGCTTATCATTCTTTTTGTTTTCTCTTTTTCTTTCCAATGTGGTTTGTTTAACCAAACTCATCTCAAGCTTATTAATATTTTGCTTTTGATTAATTCATCGACTGAAACCCAAAATGGGAGAAAAAACGACAAAATATAATTGTCCGTGTGAGATAAATTAAGGTTGAAAAAATAAAATGAAAAGTCATGTTATACTTGTTTTTTATTTGCTTTTGAAACCTCAATAAACGCAAAGAAACCCAATGACACACTGGTTTATGTAGGATTGAAGCAGCTTGACGTTAAATGTATGCTAAACAAAACCGTATAATGGTTTAAACTATCTTAAATCATCTAACTAATTAATTATTGCATTTAATTTAAACAAATTCTTCAAAATAACTTTGGCATATTGGTGTCAAAGGTCCTATTTTATTTCTAAAATATTTATTATACAATATTTAATGATACGTTTAGAACAGATAAATGTAAAATTCTTTCAGTGTTTGGTTGGAGAAACGAAGGAGAGGGAAGAGGACTTGATGAACTGTTCATGTTTAGTTAATTGGCCATAGTTTTTAAAATGAAATATTTTAACAAAAAAGGAGCCTACAAACTATAAATTTTATCAGCCAAATGCCAAATCTTAATAATAATGATTTATTTACCCGGTAAAACTTTATTCAGTTTAAACTTTATTAATTATAAATTTTTAACTGATTAAAAAAGAGAAATTATTAAAATAATGAAAATAATAAATAAGAGAAAAAAAGTAGAGTTGTGCATAGATTAGATTGACACAAAATTAATCAAATTTATTTTAAATTTAATTATATAAATTTAATTTTAAACAAATATATTTTTTCTTAAATTAATTTAAAATTAATTTTAAAATTTGAATTTAGTTTAAAACTATATTTAAATCTAGTTTTGATTGAAATTATTTTTATATTTTATGTTAAATTGATTTTAAATATAGTCGTATGTTGAATTGGTTTTAAATCTAAATTTTAAAGTAAAATTAATATTTAACATTCATAAATATAATTTTTTAAGGTAAAACTAATTTATTATACTGCATTATTGTATTAAATTAGTGTATTTTAAAAATATTATAGTAATCTTTATTAATTATATTATATTTATTATTATTTATTTTTAATAAACAGAGTTGATTTAATTTAAAACTTATAAAAATAAATATTAATAATATTAAATAATAATATAATATTTTTAAAAATAAAATTGAATATAAAAAACAATAATTAATTTTAAAATATTTTTTATATTTTTTATGCCTTTACTATAATAATTATATATTAAAAAATATTATTTTAAATATTTAATCTTAATTATAAAAATTAAAGTTTAAAAAAATAATCGTAAAATGTAGTCATGACAAATTTTGTCAATTAATATGATGCAAATGTCTAATAAATCAAGACATGAGATAGTGACTTCATACACAATATGAATTTAGAAGAATAAAAGAAAATTTAATTTTAAAAGTGAATTTAAAATGCTAATTTAATTATAAAAATATGACGAACCATAGTTTTACATGCATCTAATTTTTTAAAACTAATTATAGACTAAACTTGCATAACTGATTTTTTTCAGTCACAGAGAAAAGTACATAATTTACTTTTTTTAATTAGTTAAAGTTACTTAATAATGAAACTTAAGACAACTTTTTTTAGTTTTAGCGATTTTCATTCATTTATCACTATATTGGAATACAAAAGATCTCCCCTTTAGTATAAAAAAATTCTAAAATACGTAACGTAAATGTTTAGACATTAACTTAAATCATTAGTTGATAAAATCATTTACGCTTTTTGAACTGTTGTGTTGTGCAGCTTTATCTTGCAAGAAAATGATGGAGTCTAAGTTAAGAGACTTGTGAAGAAAACCAAAATTTGTCTAGTTGTATGATAATACTGCGCATGATATTTTTGAAAATTTTGCCAAAAGCAAGATTAGTCACTCTTCTAAATTAATTTTTTAGCGAAAAAAGTGATACAATTCGACCAAAAACACTGCTCTTGAAATTGCCATCAGGGGTTACCATCTCTTTCCCAATTGACCATGTTTTTAGAATCCTAAGCCACTGAAATAAAACCACATGCCACATACAAGACCATCACATCTGCAAACATGTCTTCATCAATAAGGAGCACGATTGTCCTTCATGCACATAAAATTCAGTTCCCAAAACACAATCTAGTTCGTGAACTTAAAAGAAACCAAACGTGGATTTACCAGCCACTTTTCATGGGTCACCACCATTGAGGTAACGTTGTGTTGTGTATATTTATGATATGATATGCCTATGGTCTTTACTTTGAATCAAATTAAAAGGTAACCAACAAACGTGTCAAAACCAACCAGCCAACATTGCGGCTTGTGCTTATCCACGAGGTGCCACTTAACTTTTCACTCAACCACACTTCAAAGTAGTAGTAGTAGTAGGGCTTAACATTTTCAGTCTCCACAAACACCTAGAAGAGGGTAAGTTAAAAAAATATAATAAAAATGCACAGTGTTGAGTTATAAGTGACACACATTCACAAGGCCACAGAGCCCAAAAGATTCGAGTAACTGGGCACTCTTGTCATTCGTGTGGGCATCTAGTCCTACTTTAAGATCTGTGCATGTCCCTTCCTGTCAAGAGAGAAAGAGGGGTAGGGGTAGGGGTAGGGGTAGGGGTAGGGGTAGGGGCATATGAGAGAGAAAGTGGCATCACTCACATGGGTAGGTGCTGGTGGGTAGGGCCTATACACAACCTGGCATATTATATAAATGTGTGGCCCACATGCAGTGTCAGCAACCCCATGTGATGGTGTGTCTTGTGGACCCTGTCCAATAATGGCAAAAAAAAAAAAAAAAGACAGACCCCACCAATTTACAAATTGAAAGGGAAAAATAATTGCAGGAACAAAGAGACAAATTCTCCTTTAAAATCAAAAAGCACACAAAAGGAGAGGCAAATAGACCAATTAGTCTAAAAACTCGCTTTTGATTCTTCTTTCTAAATCTTTCTCTTTTCTGTCTGGGTAATTTAAGGGGGTTTGATAACTGTGTATAACAACTAAGTGGTAGAACAAGTACAAACATTACATCCAAGGTAAAAATCTCAACTTTCATCTTTTAACCCAGCTAAGATTAACAATTATACATTCCCCTCCTCATTTCTGGCCTTCAAACTCAAGTTACCCATCATGGGGGGAACCCATCCATCTCAATCAGCCTTCTACTTATACAACTCTCTGCATTTACGGTTTTACCACTTCATCTGTGCATGCTTTCTCTGGGTAATAATGCTCCAGCTGTACAAACACTTCAGATTATACCTGTAACAACATAGGACTAACAATCTACACTACTACATCCATCATCCATCCAAAGGGTAGGAGAAGAAACAAATTACAGTGCCAAGAGTTCCCTACTACACACTGACTCTGATGATTTTTTGTGTTATTTTTAACCTGTGGTTCAGCTACTACAGATATGAGAGAAGAAAGAAAATGGTACAATAATGCTAAGAAAAGAAAAGGGGAATGCATGCCCCACTTTCCCTTACTGAACTGCTTTTTACGTATGCATTTTGTATGGTAGTAAGTAGTATAGTATCGATTATTGATGGTGATGGCCGTCATGGTGGTGGTGGTGGTGATTCTCTACAGATTTTGTTGGGTGCCGAGTTTGTTTAGTCACCTTTCACTTCCTGTAAAGGTTGCACAAAAAACACCAAACCGACTTCCAATTTTAATAATATACTAAACAACAAACCGATGCACCTTCAAGACAAGAATCAACCCAACCTCATCAACGCATAAACTTCCAAACAAGCTTTACCTGAGCCTCAGGAAACTAAATGCCAATTGCTCCACCGGTGCCTGCAAACATCCCAATAGTTCCATGCCCAGAAGAGAACCTAAGCACAAACCCACATCATCAAAATTCCAATACTTAAAAAGATACTGAAACTCATGCCATGTGAATTATGGTGACGCCACTACCTTGGTATTTGGCAGTTATAGGATTTGAATGACCCCATGTCTAAAGCAGATGCTGCTGGAAGTAATGTGTTAGTACCAAATTTGGAGTTGGCAGATGCAGCTGAGGGATCTGAATCAATGGCCTCATTAGGTCCATTGGAGAAGGGAGCCATGATGAAGTCTCCAGCAGCTTTTGTTGGGGAAGCAAAAGGGCTATCAGGGAGATTATGCTCCAAACTGCATTTATTCATAAACCATTTTAAAATACTGACAATCAAAGTTTGGAAATTGGAAAAACCTGAATAAATACAGATTTGTTTTTGGCATGGACTAAAAAGAGGAATTTGGTGCAAAAAGGTGTTTACTATTCTGGTGCCCTTTTAGTTATTCCAAATGACAACAAGTTTTATACCATTCTTGCAAATCACGATCTTCATGGCTAGAGTTCAGCTTGCCATTGCCTTCATTGCATCCACTCTCTCCATTGACCACCACTTCCTTGCCAGCTGAAATGTTGACTTGCTGCTGACCAGCAGAAACTGATGCAGTACTAGCTGGTGCAGAACTTGAACCACTCTCTGGAATCAAATAATCTCAAACAATTCATTCCATTTCCTACTAAAACACCAAGTTCAATTCAAGATCAGCTGCATTTAAAATCAATTAGAAGGGAGATATATACCCTCTGGGGCCTCTGAACTGCCATGAAATGAAGGAAGAACAAGATTTTGATGGAACATGTTAGGAGAGTGGGTAGGGGATGGAATTGGACTTCCAGTGGAGAGTGCGCGCTGGTGATGCTTCTTGATGTCAAGAAGTTGCAGACCCATTAACCTCCTACTTTGGAGTTCAAGAGCTTGCTGCAAATCAGCTTGCTCCTCCAACTTCCTCCTCCACAGCATGTCGTGAGTATTGTAAAACATTCTGCCTCCTAAAAACATAGAACACAGTCAAAATGTTAAAAAAAAGTAGGTTTGACTAGCACACAATCTCAAAAAACCAAAAAAAAAAAACAAAATGGAAGCTTAAGCTTAAAGCATTAACCTACCAAGTTGAAGATCATATTGGTCTCTAGCATCTAGTCCTGTAGGAGTGCCACATGGTGAAAAATCTGCTCTATCCAACTGTTGCTGCTGCTTCCTGAAAACCACAAGAAACAAGACCACAATTCAAAACAAACTCAAAACAATAACAAACAAAAGATAACATCTAAGACTAGAAAGAGGGGGTGCCTGTACTTGTCTGGCACTTTGCCCTTCTCCTTGTAAGGCTTAACAAGCACCCTAGCATCACACACAAAATGAGGGTTTCCTTTTGATAGAATGAGCTTCACTGTCTCCGGATAAACAAAGGTAACAAAACCAAACATGCGCTTCTGCTGATATGGGATCCTCACATCTTGGACTGGGCCATAAATGCTTCAACAACAACAGAATTATGAACCAAGTTTAGTTAATATTTCTACCATTGCCAAGTTATGCATGCTATAACACAAGATAAAGCAAAACAACAATAACCTGAAGTAATTTGAAACATCTTCCTCTCTGAAAGTGCTATCTGCCGGGAAAGTCAAGTAGATCTGCCTAGAAGCTGGGTTCACCATCCCAGGACTGTTCAAAGAAAAATCATTCCTTTCAAGCCTGGATCTTCCAAACTTATGCAAATCCTCACTCATCATCAGAGCTGCAGCTGCCGCTCTGCAATCATTATCATTATTCAATCATGATTAGAACACTGCACCTTGTAACTACAATACAACCACAGTACTCAAAACACACGATTGAACAGTACATACCTTTGAGTATCATTCTGCTGCTGCTGCTGCAAGAGGAAATTCATGCACTTTGGGGAGTATGGAAGAGAAGATGCCATGAGCTGAGAAGCAGCAGCCAGTCTTTGTTGCTGAGCAGACTTGGATCTGAAGAGCTCATGGCACTGCTCCATCATCTCAATCTTGCTAGGAGAGCCAACCATTGCAGCACCATCAGCATCTCCAAGTCCCCCATGAAGGAACCTACAACTAGTGCCATTTTTACAGTACCCTCTGGCAAAGTAAAGGCAAGGCTTCCACCCCAAGCCAGAATTAGGGTCCTCAGAACCCAAACAAGCATCATTGACAGAACAACTCCTACGGTGCAGAGACCCTCCCCAACCATAAGAAGGAAAGAGAGTAGGATCAGCAGCTGCACCAGTTGGACTTGAAGCCAAGTCTGAATGAGAAGGGTAAAACAAATCTGCGTTCTTGTGGCCAAGAGTGGCACTTGTTGGAGAGCCATCATTCAAGAAAGAAAGCTGGTCTTGAAGCTGGAAATCATCAATTGGATCTGAGCCTCCGTTTGCATAAAAGGGTAAGGAAGATGAAGAAGTGGAAGAACCAACAACCAAGTTGTTGGGACTCATCAAATCATCAGACATAGTAGCCCAAGAAGCTGAAGTAGAAGAAGGGTTTGGAATAGTGACTGCAGGAGGAAGGTTGATGCCACTGAGTCTTGAAGAAGTTGAGTTTTGTCTTGAAAGGAAGGGAGAAGGAGAAGGAGGAGTGGAAGGTGTTGGCGGAGAGTTCGAGGGTAAGCCCAACTCTTTGCGGGCTTTGACAATCACAGAGTGAACAATAGCTTCAGGACCAAATGCTAATCTAATCATTTCCTTCTCACCATGGTCTTGAAGTAGAAGCACACCCATGATTTTGGAAGCATTTTCAGGGTCCAAGTTTTGGATCCTTGAGAACACAATCCTTGTAGCTTCGTAACCATCCATGGGTGAGTAAAAAAGATTGTTGCTTTGTTCCACAACAAACTAGCCTATCCTTAAAAATCTTTTTTTTTTTTTTTGTAGTGAGTTGAGTGTATGTGTGTGTCTTTCTCTCTCTACTCTCCACTGGCCATCTTTCTCACTCCTATTACAAGTAAAGTTTCTTTCTCAACCACACACAAGCCCTACCTACCAACTTGAGATGAGTGGTGGCACAGTGAGTTTCTTTCTCATATTCCTGCAAAGCACAACAGAAGAAAAGAAAGTTAAAGAAGAAAAGGGAGAAGGGGAAGTAAGAAAGTGAAGTGTTAAAAGGAGTATTCCCGTGTGGTTGATTAATAGGAGGAACAAGGAGGATGCCAAGAGTTACCTTTGATAAAAGGAAGAAGGAGAAAATAAAGTAAAGGGAGAGGGACATAAGATGGTGGTTGAATTTCTCTATAAAGAAGTAATGAGTGCAAAAGTTGCAGAAACAACAAAAGAAGAAACTTACAAACAACACCAAATAACTCTTTTCCTTTTATTTCTCCCACCCTCTTATTAACCTCCTTCTAATAAATCTATCCCCCTTCTTTTCCAAATTAAATTTCAAATCCAAATCTGAGCACAAGAGTACGGTCTTACCCATGAAAGCATACATAAACTCTCTCTTTCTCTCCCCTCTGAAGCCACTTGTTTCCTCTCTCACAAATGGTATTGCTAGTCAACTTACTACAAAAGCCAAACCACCTCTTGTTTATAACATGATTGCAGATTCAAGCAGCATCATTTGCCTCAGCATCCCTATCCCTGCTGTGTTTTATGGGGTTCTGGGCAAGTGTGGCCACTGAAGTTGAGAGCTGAGCTATTTCTCATGTTAGTCTTACCCCTCTCTCTCTCTCTCTCTCAACTATCAAGCCAAGATTTTCCCCTCTTTCTCTCTCCCACTCACTAACTCACTATAGCAAAGTATGCCCCCACTTCCCTTATGTGTTGTGTTATGTAGACCCTTCTCTCTTTATGTTTGTCCTTTAAAACTATGGTATGTAGTAGTATCATTAACAAGCGCGAGAGAGCGTGTGTGGGGAAGTAGTGACCCTATATGTTATGTTATGTTTGTGTTTGTGTGCTACTTGAGTTGAAGGGGATCGAGATCCATGCTTCAAATATACAAAAATAGTGCACGTTCACAGTTCACTTGCCCCTAACCTCTGACACTGCACTCTATTAAGTAGTATTTACTTTCAATTTTAGGAGCTTTCATTTCTTTCCCAAGCACAGTGTACATTTGCTTTGCTTATCATTACTTAATTCAATGCCTCCCTCAGAGTTTGGTCCTCACGCTCCAACGGAATCTCTCTGGGAGGGACCCTCTTACCGTATCATTATCACTTTGCATTCATTGGAGAGTGACCAACACGCCCTCCTTTTTTGCCTTGATTGGGTCATCATGTCTTTATGTTGGGAGGAGTCAATGCCACCCCAATCAAACTCTCTCTCTCTCTCTCTCATTATATTTATTTATACTAAACACATCATTTGCTACTTGGTTTATTTCTTATTTGTTGGTTATGCCCCACAAGTTGTTGCTCCCATAGCTCCACTCTCTTTGATCTCCAAGGGGTCCCTTTACATTTCTTCAAAGTATATGTAATTTATTTATGATTGTTGTTGTGATGGTTACATGATAATATAATGTGTGATTATGTAAGAGAAAGATATATTGATCTTTTGATGGTAGAAAATCACAAAAGATATGAAGGATTTGTACAGACATAAGAGGGTCTGGTTGCTTCAGTTTTCTTTCTCACTTGTCGTTATTCAGATACCCCACAAACAAAATAAAAATGATGACTCCATGCCTCTCTCCACCTGTTTTTTTTCTCCCTCTCAATCTAAACCCCAACTCTCTTTTTTTATTTTTTTATAGAAATATCAAAAATTAAAAGCACATTTTATACTCTCTCTTTTTTCCTGAACTTATATGAAAGTTTAATATGTTCAATTGAGATTCCTATGCTTGGCTGGTGTAAGAGAGCACAGTGGAATATATATACAAAAACACTAATATTCAAGTTAGTTTATTATATGAGTAGAGTAGTAAGTTATGAAAGAGATGGTATACCAAGTGTAAATGGTCACTGATTTATTAAGGTACTTTGTTGGTGACTAGTTGCCAAGTGAATGTACAGCGAAGACATGGAAATGTTGCAAAATATTTTTCTAAAATGTACAACTGTACAGATAATAAATTATAATATATAATATTTTTTAATAAAAATTATAAAATTTAATGTAATTAAATATATTAATACTACTTAATATTAAAAAAATTTATTATATATATTTTTTATATTGTATAATATTGCACAAATTTAAAATATTGATAAAAAGAAATTTTAAAACATGTGCCATGAGGATTGAGGTGTATGGTCCTGGTATGTATAATTTCTGCCCTGTTTATTTACACGTTTGATAGTATGCAATCAATATTTTTTAATAATAAATGACTATGACTAATATTTTTGTACGCAAAAGTTTAGACACCATAAATGATAATTACAATTTCTCACTTTTACAAAAAAATCAATTATTTATCTAATATAAATAGATTGTTTATGAATATTGAACATCGTTAGACTTATGAATTTATATACATTTAATAGAGAGTCAAAAGCGATCAATATGTTTTAAAATTTAGGTTAGACATTAATTTGACCCAGTGCAACTCAAAACCAACATTTTATTGACTTATGTGAGTTAATCCATCTGGTTAGTTTTTTTATATAAATTTTTAGACATTTTACTTATTTTACTAATTTTTGTATATTTGGCTAGCTTTTCATGTTACAAAATAATAAGCAAAATGGTTTTAAAACATCAAAAACATTTGTGATGAGCATTATAAAGTTATAAATATATGATTATAAATTATACTTATTCTTTAAATTTAACAAAATCAAATACAATACTCTTTTATTTTTTTACATTATTTTATATTTTTAAATTTATATAACTACGTAAGAAATTAAGAAAGATTTGTGCTGTTATAATAAAATTCATAATGACGTACTACTTTATAAACTAAAAGAGGTTTATTTTAAAAAAAAAAAGTATGATAGTAAAATGTTGTGGTCGTTTAAGCTTATGTTGTTTTGGTGGAAAATATTATGTAAGGATTAAAAAAATATAAGAAAATAAAAATTTTATGAGTTTGAATGTTTTGTTTTATAAAAGTGAAAATTATATTTTATTAAAAACAATTTTAAAGTAACACAAAAATATTTAAAATAGTTTTAAAAATTATATAATTTAAAAAATATTATATTATAATTGTTTGTTAAATAATTTTTATTAAATTAATTTTTATACTTTTTTTTTCATTCGTCTGAAACAAGTAAAGTAAAACTTTTTTCTTGTTTTCTTTTTTATTTTTATTCTTCTAAATAAAAAATATTTAATATCTTATTATATATATATATATATATTATATTTTTTATTTCATTCAAACATAAAATAAAGTCGCCAATATATAATTTATCTAATATATGTAATATCAATTACTAACTCATAATATGTTATTATAGAATTACTACAATATTAAAATATGATAATAAATTATAAATAATTTATCTATAACAATCTTATTTAATTTGAATATAATTGCTTTTAATTGACGATAGATTTAAATTTAAAAAGTTGATAAAAAAATTAATAATTTTTATATGTTATGTGCATCTTAATTATAATGTTATTAATGGTACTGTGAAAAAAATTAAAAAAACTATTTTTTTTACTAAAATAGTTTATTATAATAACAATTTTGATGAAAGAAATAAGATATTATTTTTAACATTTTTAATATTATATTTATTAATTCTCTAGCAAAAAAGCTCAGCATTATTTATTTCAAGTATATATTTTTTTAATACACTGTTTTATCATTAGACTTTTTTCCCAACATATTATTTATTTATTAATAAAATTTGATATATTTTATAGGTAGTTATATTCCTACTAATCATGTTAGTTAATGTTATAAATTACATATATTAAAAAATTACTATGAAAAATTTTACTCCATTGAAGTTAAATGTCACACTTTTTTAAATAAGATACTATTACAAGAGTACAAAAGTTCATAGATTGTGCAATGGTTTAATTCTTAATTATAAATATAAAAGAGTTATAATAAAAGATAGATTTCATTATAGTATTTTTTACGTTTGAAAACATAATTAACTTTTAATTAAAATATACTTTTAGAACAACTATGTTGAAGTTGCATATGTCACTTTTTTATATAAGATGCAATTTTTAAGTTGAAGTTTACAGTCGAATCAATTTGCGTGATAAAGAAAAAATAAATAAAAAATAAGGTATGATTTCTAAAATAAGCATTTGCTGCTTATGTTAAAAATTGAGGCGTATTTGTAAGCACACCACAAACCATTAGACAGAAGAATAGATACAAAGATGTGATATAAAAGCATGGGATGATTTGCTACATCTACTAAATAAACTTTTAAGATTATTCTATTAAAAAAAAATACTTACTTAGATTATAAATAGTAAAACAAAATTAATGAATTATGATTGGTCCTATATAATAATAATAATAATAATAATAATAATAATAATAATAATAATAAATATTCTGTTTTCATTTTACTTTTTTTATAAATAGATATTTTAATTTTTATCACAATTTTTTTATTTTTTTGTAATCAGATTTTTTTAAATATTTTTTTTTTGTCTAATGGCAGATATTATAAGAAATTTGTAAATTCAAACAAACTTAAGAGTAATTCTTACTTGTAGTTTGTAACTCTAAAGAATTTTGAACTTTAATTTTATTTTAATTTATCTTTAAATTTTACCAATTACAGAAATAGGCATTCAAAATTTTAATTTTTCTCCAATTATTTCTTAAACTTTATACATTGACAAATAGTTCATTCTATAACTTAAATTACAGCTAAATTACTAATAAAAAGTTAACTTACCTTAAAACTCGATCATTCATAATTTTTTAATTATAATTCATTTTTAAAAGCATTTTAACATAATTAAAACTACAAATTCAGTAAAAATAAATATAAAAATTAAATAAAATAAATTACTATAAACATGCATTATATAATTAGGAATTATTTTCTGTATTTTTTGACTTTTTTTTTTATCTCGAAACAATTAGTATCATATTATTATTACTATAATATTGTTGTTATAATAATGTTATGTATACTTTTTTATTTTTTCTAAATTTAAATTTTTAACCGTGTTTTGATGGTTAGAAGAATGAAAACAATAAATAAAATATTTAAGGTAAATAAATAAATAATTTTTTGTGAGTAATTCAATTTTAATTTCATTTATAGAAGAAACTATTCACAAAAACATATATAATTTAAGGACTGGTTGCAAAAAAAAAAAAAGGTTTAGAACATCTGTTTATAAAAGAAATAAAGTTTCATATCAATTAAACTAAAATTAAGATTCATGATGTTCAATTATAAGATCAATAAAGTTTAAAAATCAATTAAATTTAAAAATAACGATTTATAAAGAAGATAAAGTTAAAGAAGGTTAGTACTTTTTTTTAGAATAAAAAATTTAAAAAATAACCATAATAATAATAATAATTAATTATAAGTTTTACTAAAAATATATATTATAACAAATTGTTAGTATTATTCTTCTATAAAAGGTATCTATCACAAATGATATTACTTTTGTCCAACCTCATATTTAAACCCTAAAATCACAGTTACAGAAAATTTATCAAACAAAGTACTGTTTTCTCCCGTTTACATAATTTAAAATACACATGTAATATATATTAATTAAGAGATTTATTATTTATTTTTTTCTAAAGACTACTTGTTCGGTATTTTAGAGTTTGGGTTCGATCACTTTTTATTTATCTTCTTTGTTTAAATTATAGTTCAATGATTTCTATGGAAAACATTTTTATTATTTTAAAATCTTAAAATTAATATTATATAAAATTTTGTATATAATTATTTTTAGAGTTTGTTAATAATTGAATTTAAGCATGTATAAATAGAGAGTTTTTATAAAAAAATATTTATTATATTAAAATTATAAAAGTTTCATAAATGTTTTTTGTAAAATAAAATATCATTATTATTATTAGTTATTTATTTTATATTTTCTTTATTTTTATTTTATATATACATATCTTAAGAATATATTTTAAAATTAAAAAACACTAAAAGATATTATACTTTAAATGTATTAAAAGAATTGGTACAGAAAAAAGGATACAGTAATCTGCACTTGGGGACTAACTTGAAAAGGTTTGAAGAGTTGAATGAAGAGATAAAAAATAAATAAAAATAAAGAAAGTGAGACACTGTAGAGGTTCTCACATGGGGTGTTTGCACTCATTATTTTTGTTTGAAGTCATCTTCAATCATTCCACACAATGTGACGAATGCAAGTACAGCTAAGCCCATGTACAAATCTATTCCCACCTTTTGCAATTTGTTGTATTTTAAAAAATTAAACATATTTTTAATTTTATAGATGT